CGGTCCGGATGGTTTTGCATCTTATTGGCACGACATTCGCACTACAGAGCACATTTTTTCCAAGCGTCAAAATGGTTGGTTTTCCGTCATGGTTTGCGGGGCTGTTAGTCTCTATGGTGTATCTTCGATAATGTTCATGGATGGGAGGCAGGACTCTGAGAAGTACGTTGATATTTTGCGTCATGGCTTACTGCCGTTCGCGGCCGAGGTGTTCGGATAAGAACAACGCTGGTTTTTTTCAGCAAGATAATGCGCCGATACACACCTCTGGTTTTACGAGAAGCTGGCTCTCTGAGCATTCTATCTCTACTCTACCGTGGCCAGCGAAGTCCCTCGACGTTAACATTATAGAAAATGTTTGGGGCGTGATGGCGAGGATGGTTTACGCCAGGGGTAAGCACTACCAAAATGTTGAGGATTTGAAGGTGGCTATTGAGGAAGCATGGTCTACTTTAGGGTCGGTCCTTTTATTGACGCGTTACAAGAGTCTTCCGCGTCGCATGCATGCTGTCATGGATGCGCGAGGTGGCGCAACTAAGTATGAAAGGCTTGTTTGTGCTCTGTCATATCAAATTTCGCGTATTATATCAATTTCGTCCACGTTTTTAAAGATATCTCGATAACAGTGCCTGGTATCATTGTTTTGAGCTGACAGGCGTTTTTACCGGCACGTGTGGGCCCTGGATACGTCCCAGTTTATGAACGGGCCGCCTTTTAAGTGTTCACATTTTTCTCGTCGATGGTGTATTTATTCTAATTTCGCGCACTGTATGTATCCTAGTGGTGGTCGCGCATAAAGGTGATGAAAAAGGTGCAAACGTGTGGTACTGTAATGGCAAGTGGATGAATTGCGTTGCGGTAGCGTTGCGGAAGCGTTGCGGGCGATGGGGGGCGGGCGAGTTGGCGGATGAGGCACACAACAGTGGTACACTGAGGAGGGGTAGACATGGGGAGGAGGGTGTGGTTACGGCAGTGATGCGTGAGTGACGCGTGAGTGATGCGTGAGTGATGCGTGAGTGATGCGTGAGTGATGAATGAGTGATGTGTGCGTTTTATCGTATATATAATATAATTTTATGCAGCAAGCGTCAAAAGTGCTAGGTACGGTACCCAAGGGTAGTGTACAGTATGGCGTACAGTGAATGTGGGAAAATGGGTGTCGAAACATAGGTTTCCTGGCGGGCACTGGGCGATGGTCTCTGGTTTGCGAGAGCGTGCGGAACGGGTGTTGCGGCACAGGGGTTGCGGCGGCACAGGGGTTGCGGCGTGGGGGTTGACCGTGTGCAGGCGCAAGACCGATAAGCGGGGGGGGCACGCGAGACACGGGACACGCGGATGTGCATACTGTACAGCAGTGTACAGTGGCATGCGATAGGAGGGGGGCGATGTGGGAGAGATGCGTGGGGCGCGCAGAGTTTAATGCGGCGGGGAGCGGTTAAAAAGAGATGTTCAACGGCGGCAGGGGAGGGAGGGAGCGAGAGCGAGAGGAGCAGAGATGCGGAGAGATAGCGTACCCTTCTCAGTTTTAGATGATGAGGGGCGACGGGATGGGGGGATTGATGATGGCGGATGCAGGCGCGTCGATAATAATATACCTGTATATTATATACCCTACTGATTGGCCCTACTGATTGGCCCTACTGACTGCCCTGCTTGATGTGTACTGTACCTTGACGACAACCGGGTTCTCTTTTTATTTACAACAGAGCTAAGACCCGTTGTCGTGGCGACAACGAGCCGGGCGCGCCCGGCTCGTTGTTCAGTGTTCAGTGAACACTGTTCACCAGTGGCAATTCTCGAATGCACTTAGTGCTGAGAGTGAATTGGAGAATAAATTACGGGCGTCAAACTTTGCTTTGGAAAAATCAAAGCATGAGAATACTAAAACATTGACACAAAAATAACGACCGACGGACAACCCAACATTCCTCCATCCGTTGTTCGCGATGACCACCGAATGCCAACGCATCACCGCCTGCCACCGGATAACCGTTACCCCGCAACCATGTGTGCCTGTGTCGGGGTGCCCAGCCCAGCCGCGGCGATGAAATCTCCCACCAATAGCCTGTGCACGCGTGTGCCCCAGCCCCCGCCGCCATATCCCGCCACGTACGCCGCCATATCCCGCCGCGGCCACACACCCTGCCCTCCCTGCCGCCTTGCCGCGCCGCCCGTGCCTCTTTCCCCCCTCCCCGTGCGTCCGGCGCGCCGCGCAGTTTCCTAAACGCGTCGCGTGCGTCCGCGCGCAGTAAAAACGACGTAAAAACTGTGGATGGAACTTCCCCACTTCCATCCAGGCAAGACACAGTACAGATAGGACAATGCCAATAAGGCGCTATTTACTCTGTGGGCGGGCGAGTTGGAGGATGAGGCACACAACAGTGGTACGCTGAGGAGGGGTACTGTAGTAGACATGGGGAGGAGGGTGTGGTTAAAGGTTACGGCAGTGATGCGTGAGTGGACGCGTGAGTGATGCGTGAGTGATGCGTGAGTGATGAATGAGTGATGTGTGCGTTTTATCGTTTGGTTTTATCGTATATGAAATAAAGGCGCCGTCGCCTCCGCCACGATCCGTGGTCGGAGGCATCGGACCAGGCAGGTCTTGGCATCACAAAAACGACGAAAAACGAGGAAGAAAGCTCCGCGCCCGAAGCCTGTGCCTCCATCCAGATAGGTCAGCACAGTAGATAAGGCACAGCCACATAGGGCACTACAACTCGGCAGATAAAGTCACCGCCGGCCGGCCCTCCCCCCCCTTAATGTGTACCTTATCATATACCTTACATCTTTATTTACAACGGGGAGGGAGGGCCATCGGTGTTGTGTTTGTTCATGGCATCACAAAGCCACGCCGGCGCCGCGTGGGACGCTTCTCGCCCCCGCCGCGCTGCCGCCGCTACGAGCCCCTACAGTATACAGCGGGGCCGCGGCGGGGGAGGGGGGGCGCGCGCGCGCCTTGCTGCAAGATGGGTATGGGGCGCACGTGCAAGGAGGGGCGCGCAAGGGGCGCAAGGGGCGCCACGGGCATCAAGGCGCACGGGCATCAAGGCGCGGGCATCAAGGCGCGGGCATCAAGGCGCGCCGCCCCGCGCCGCGGTGAACGCGCCCGATGCGCGTAAAAAGTGATACAGTACAGTACCAAGGGTACAGCACCGGTACTGTACACACCGTTACTGTATCGCGCTTCGCGCCGCACGCCCCAATCCACGGCCCGCCTCAAATTCCTCTCACCCGCCCTACACAGCACTGTAAATCGCGCGCCCTTACGCCAAGCGCAGCCGCAAGTCCACCACCCCCTCCGCCGCCACCCACCCACGCGGCCCCCTCCTTCCTTCCCCTTCAACGCCCGCTCCGCGCGCTCAAGGCAACAAAGGAACTAGAAGACCTCCACAACGCAAG